GCTTGGGCTCTGGCTCTTAGGCGTTCTTCACCTTTTTGTCCTCTTCTGTTAGAGGAGTCGGCTGTGGTGCAGTTTATTCAGGCTGCGTCGGCGGCTTGTCGTCCGATGTCGAACTTGTTGGTTTTCCGAGGGTCCCGGGGTGGGTCTTCCCAGAAAGGTCGTGCCAGGGCTCGGGGTTCCTCTCGTCGTGGTAGGCCTCTGGTGTCAGGTTCGGGTTTGGCTCCTGCGGACCCTCCCTCGTCTGGTCGGCGCGGTGTTCGCGCTGTGCGGGGTTCTGGGTCTCGTAAGGGTTGCCGGCCCTTTCGCGGTTTGCCCCATTGATGGGGCGATGGTGGGGGCGGCTTGCACTGTTCGCCCGCGCCTGGTCCCACGATTTGTGGGCCTTTCGGGTCGTGTCTCGCGGCCTGCGGTGGCGTTGGGTGGCCCCTCCTCCCTTGGGGGGAGGGGGGGAGGGGCTGGCAGGGCAGGTTTCTTCCCCTGCGCTCTGTTGAGTCGTCTTGGAGTGGGTACGCTTGGGCGGCGTCGAAACGATGTCGTCCCTCAGATGGGTTTCCCGTCTGTTTCCAGTTCCGAAACGGGACTGCGCGAGCCTGCGGTTCATTCTGGACTTGTCCCGTCTGAACCCCTGGGTTCATTGCCCCCTCCTTTCGGATGACTACGCTGTCTCAGGTTCGGCTCCTCTTGAAGCTGGGAGCTTGGATGATGTCCCTGGACCTCCGGGACGCTTATTGGCATGTCCCGATTCATCCATGTTTCAGGGACTGGCTCGGTTTTGTTGTGGGGCGTCTGAGTTACCGCTTTCGTTGTCTCCCGTTCGGGTTGAACCTGGCACCTCGCGTGTTCACGCGCCTTACACGGGTTGTGGTGGCTCGTTTGCGTCTCCTAGGTGTTCGGGTGTTGGCCTACCTCAACGACTGGCTGGTTTGGGCTCCCAGCCAGTCAGCTTGCTTGCTAGCCAGGGATTTGGTTCTTTCCCAGCTCGCCGAGTTCGGGTTCTTGGTGAACTGGAGGAAGTCACATCTGGTTCCCTCTCAGGTTCGGACTTGGCTGGGTCTCGTTTGGGACTCTCGAACCGCCTCCTTGTCTCTCCCTCTGGAGTCTCTCCTGCGGCTGCGGTCCCGCCTTCGTCTGTTTCTGGAGAGCCCTCGGGTCACGCGGCGGTTGCTCGAGGGGCTGTGCGGGAGCCTGAACTTCGCAATGGTGGTCTTCCCGCCGGGTCGGGTTTGGCTTCGATGGCTGTTCTGGTTCCTTCGGGGTTCCCCCTTCCGCCTCTCTCGCGCTTGCAAAGTTCGACCCCCGGGGGCCTTGCGTCGGTTGCTGCGTCACCGGCTTCCTCTTCGGGTTTTTCGGGGTTCAGTGCCTTGGCGCCTACCCGAGCCCTCGCTCGATGTGCACACGGATGCGTCGTCTCTCAGCTGGGGTTTTGTGACTAGTGCTCACCAGGCCGGCCAGGGGCGTTGGGATCCATCCTTCCGTCGAGCTCACAGCACGGTGTGGGAGTTCGCGGCAGTGTGGTTTGCTCTGGGGAGGATTCGGGTGGCCCGCGGATCGACGATTCGGCTCCATTCGGACTGCTCTCCGGTGGTTCATTGCCTGAACCGCGGGGGTTCGATGCGGTCCTTGTCTCTTTGGGGTTGGTTGCTTCGGGTGACTCGTCTGCTGAGTTCTCGGGGTTTGGCTCTCCTGGCGGTTCACGTTCACGTACGGGGAGTGTCCAACGTCTTGGCCGACGCCCTGTCTCGCTTCGTTCCCCTCTCCACGGAGTGGACGGTCGACGACGAGTCCTTCCATTGGCTTTGCCAGACGTTCGGGCGCCCCGAGGTGGACCTCTTCGCGTCGGCGTGGTCGCGGCATCTTCCCGTTTATGCGGCGCCCTTCCCCGATCGCGAGGCCGTCGGGGTCGATGCCTTTTGGCTAGACTGGTCGAGGTGAGGGTTCCTGTACCTCTTTCCCCCGGTTCGGCTGTTGCTCCAGGTCCTGACTCGCTTAGAGACTTACCAGGGGAAAGTTGTCCTTCTGGCCCCCTGGTGGCCGGCCCAGCCTTGGTTTCAGGCGCTGGTTGCTTGGTGTCCGAACCCGAGGGTTTTCCTGCGGCTCCGCCTCTTTCAGCAGATCGGGCCAATACGTCACGTGGCTGGTTCGATCTTCTCCTCGAGTCTTCGCGTATGGGTTTTTTGACTCGAGTCTATCATCATCTCTATGGTGATCAGGTGGCCTCCTTGTTGGTGTCCCACCTGAGGGCTTCTTCTCGGCAGCAGTATGAAGTTTCCTGGCGGTCCTTCCGTTTCTTTTTGTGTCTTCGTCGTGTTAGTTCCTTGTCTGTTCGGGTGGTCTTGTCCTTCCTCTCGTGGTTGTTTCAGGACCATTGTCTTATGCCTAACACAGTCGCCTTGTATCATGCGGCGCTGGCGGAGCCGCTTCAGCTTGCTTTCGGTATCGATGTTACGTCTGCGCCGTTTCGCAAGCTGTCTCGTGCATTGCTTCACCTCCGGCCTGCTCATGCGTCGCCTGAGCCGTCCTGGTCTTTGGACAGAGTGCTCGCTTTCCTTTCGTCTCCTCGTTTCGTTGTGGCCCCTTCGGTGCAGGATTGTTTTTCCAAGGCACTTTTCTTGTTGGCTTTGGCCTCTGGGGGTCGGGTAGGGGAGCTTCATGCTCTCCTCCGGCGCAGGGGTTTCTGCTCTTTTGGTTGTGGTGATTGTTTTGTTCGTTTGCAGCCGTCTCCCTCTTTTCTGGTGAAGAATGAGACTGCTGCGTTCTGGAGGGGTCCATGGGTGGTTGATGCTTGGTTGGTCAGGCCGGGGGTGCATCATGTTTTGTGTCCGGTTGCGGCGCTTCGCTGTTATTTGCGCGCCACGGCTTTTGTGTCCGGGGACGTGCTGTGGGTTGATCTGGTTTCCCTTCTTCCCTGTTCGCGGGTTCGGGTCTCCCAGGTCGTCCGCAGGGTTATTAAGTCCAACCAGCCTGCGGTCTATCCCCGTGCCCATGACGTTCGTAAGTTCGCGGCTCCTGCTGCCGTCTTTGGGAATATGTCTTGGTCTGATATTCGGGCGCAGGGATTTTGGCGGTCGAACAAGGTCCTGGCTGCTCGTTACCTTGTGAATGTCCCTGGGCCCCGTCGGGCCTGTGTTGCTTTGGGTCGGCGGTTGCAGCCAGTTGTCTCGGCTTCGAGTTGAGGAGTGAGCGACGACCGCCTCCCGTGTAAGTCCCTCTTTTTCCGTCTGTGGGTAGTTAGCTCTGGGGAGCCGACGGGGCTCCCCCCAGAAAACCGGCGTTGAATGTAATGAAACACCATTTTCTGGGTGAGTCCCGGAGGCTCCCCGGCATCCCTCCCTCCCTCTGGTCGGCGGTTTTTCGCGTTTTTGACATCCAGCCTCAAGAACTGAGGTGTGGGTAGCCGGCGTGGAGGGTCTGGGGCTCCCCTTTCCCCCTCCCGGGGAGGGGGGAGCTGCGCAGACAGCGGCGCGGCGGTGTGTGACGTCACACTAGTTTGCTTGTTTTCGGCTGGGGAGTTCTATCCACTAGTTCGGCTTTTGGTAGCAATTTTAACCAGAATAGGGGTTTGTTTTGAGGCGCTTACCTTTCTGGGTGCCTGTTCCGGTCGATGGCAGACATAGAATGCTTCCAACCACACGGGGGCTTCTATAGGCCATTGCTTCCCTTGCCTCTCTGAGGGGGCCCGGTTCTGGCCGTGGTCCCCGGTAGGCCTAAGAACTCCATACACATGACTGATGCCAAAGTCTGACATTAGCATATCAGCCTGGATAGCTCCGAGGAGCCTCCAGGACTCACCCAGAAAATGGCATTTCATTACATTCAACGCTGGTTTATTTAAATTATTTCATTATATAAAGATTTATTTGATTACTTTTTTGCATGAGTGATTAATATAGTTTAATATTCAATGCCTATACATTTTAGTTCATCAAGCTAAAGCATTGACTGGTCTCACTTCAGTTTGAGAGTTGAGTGTTCATGTGATATTGTAGTGTCCTAACTACTGTACAGTATTTAAATCTGAGCCCTATAGAGTTGTGAATATGAATCTAAATGATAAATGATGTAAACAGTTGATTAGATTAGAAGTTTGTTTTACAACGCTCTCCCACATAGAGCTCTGCGACTCCGGCCACACTCAGCTCTCTGCTCTGCTCCAAGTTCCGTCTCAACGTCTACGACACTGCTGTATCCAGGACTACTAAAGACCCTGGAGTGACCCACGGTCACTCCGGGGTCACCAATGTAACGTACGATTATGTTACGTTGTAGGGCAGATTAGATACACAGTGTTTAGTGAGTTTCATATTTATTTAGTAATCCTGGATACAGCAGTGTCGTAGATGTTGAGACGGAGGTTGGAGCAGAGAGCTGAGTGTGGCCGGAGTCGCGGAGCTCTATGTGGGAGAGCGTTGTAGTTGGATGCGGTCTTAGTCTGCTGCCTGTTCTGTGTCGAAGCTGTAGCATCTTAGAGACAATTAGAACTGCCTACGCCGAGTGCTACATTCTTGACTGGAAATTGTACTGGTTTGCTATTCTCAAATCGCTTGCTTATATACGGTGACTACACCTCACAATAAGATAGGAGGGTGGAAAACCCATTACCTGTAAATAGGGATAGGATTATAACTTGTGTAGTTAGTGCTAACTAGTTATGCCATTAAGATGATGAGATAATGGAGTGAGTATAAGTTTACTCGCTACATATATATCATATAGTACATACATCATCATTAGAACATTTTAATTTTCACGGGTGGGCAAGCATCATCTCTGATACAAAATAAAACTGCAATAATAATAATAAAAGGTTTTAGATATTAAATAATAAAATAATTAAAATATCGCTCGGACATTCATTATTCTGTACTATAATAATCTGTATAGCATCATGGATAAACAAGCACTCCCGCACATTATTTCAGATAATACTCTACTGTATATGAGAGAATAAAAAAGTTGATACATTTTCTAATTACCAGTACAATTTCACTTCTTGATTTCAGAATAATGGACAAGCCACATCTGCGACCTTTCGGTGCAGGTGGAGGAACTGGTGGAAGTGGTATTAGTGGTGGTGAATACTCCCAGATTGGAGGTTCAGACTCTGATGACTCACGATCCAGCATCTCTCGCTCAGATGACAATGAGAACGAAGGTCTTCCCTGTATTATTTACACTTCTGACGATTCAGCAGATGTAGGCCAGTCTGACAGTACTTGTATAGACTCTGAGGGAATGGGATACATTGCTCACAATGTGCAGTAAGTCATATATATATATTACTTATCCATTGTTAGTCAGTAATGTTACATGACCTTCTCCTGGCTGTATATTCTGTTAAGCTGAACTTTGTTAAACTTCTGATGGATGACTGTTGTTATGTAATTGTAGATATAAGGTAATTTTTGGAGAGGGCTCCTTGGTGCTTGATGTCTGGCCAGCTCTGCCCAGTCCAATCCCAACACCAGGCCCTTGCAAGATATATATATATTTTTAAGCCTACCAGGGACCAGAGGCCAGAACCTGGTTTTCCCTCTAAGGAGGTGCAAGGAGAATTGAATTCTAGATCACCTTAACCATTGTGTGGCGCCGGGCTATTTAGCATTTGTCACCCACAGGCGCATACCAAAAAAAAAAAAAATATTTTTTCTTCTAAACCTGTTAACACTTTCGCGCTTTCCAGTAGACGTGACTCGTCATCAATATTTTAAGCACACAGCACTCGTGCCCCTCGGGGGCGTCACGAGCAAAAATATTTGTATAAAATCCATTTATTATCCGATCAACTTGGGAATAGTATACAAATGTTTGCCATGAAATTTACGTTTTCTCTAATAGCCGAACAGCTTATAAAAGAAAACGGCGTGGCAGTGAATCATCGTGGTAAAACAATTGTATTATTGACACGACGAGTGTAATCGACGTAGTTTTTATATATGTTGCCGGTCGAACGCATCCTTATGTGACCTTTAATACTTATGATCTTATAGAACATTCTATTGCGAGCACATTGGTACAAAAATGAAATACATACATCGACAAATAATGTCAGGACAGTGAATTGAATATACACTTTTCAAAGCGAGTTTCGCCGATATGCTGCCGCGGGTAACACTTCGGCCACTTCCCACACTGTTTTGGGTGGGCTACGACATTGAATCTATATTTATATGCATATGTCCGTGTAGAGAATTTTATTGCGATTCCAATGATACCACAATTAGCGATGTAGGACAACTGTAGGCTTCGCAACCATTAAGAGAGTGGAAACATTTTGTTGCTGTTTGGCGCTCTTGGCGAGTGATCTGAATAGTTTTTTATTTGGTGTTGATAGTCCTTATGCTTGGGCGGCATTTTATAGGTATGCTCTTATAGACAATTTCATTGCGAACACAGTGATACCAAATTTAAATACGTGCGCCTTCAATTATTGTCAGGACAGTAAAAAGAGTGTACACTTTTTCGGTCTTACCGCGTAGGTGCGCGGAGCGCCGAAAGCATCTAGGGTATTATTTTTTTTTGAGCGCCACGAGTGCGAAAGTGTTAATTTGTGTTCACTGATCATAGGAAAAATAATTAAAAAATCGTAAGTGGCATATATTGCCCGCTATAGGGTGGGGAAGTCTGGCAAAAAACAGGCGCTGACTCAGCGTGCGTCACAGATGGTCTGTTGCTCGCCAGCTGTCAGACAGGAGTGGCCACAAAGAGATAATTACCTAATTATTTCAAGTGTCGCTAATTGATTTTTCATAGTTTTTTTGCCGTAATATTATTCAATAGTGTGTAGTGTGATATATTTATACAGAGCACCACTTGGTTTCCGAACTTTAGTTATCCGAAACTTCCAGTTTCCCGATTGGGGTTGGGGAGTCATGCTACCCGAACAAAGTTCGGGTAGGAAGGGGTCCGCCAAGCGTCACGCCGGCTTGTTGTGGTGGGTGGGAGATGGTCCAGTTTGCCCACTGTGACTTCACAGATTCACGGCCTATTATTCCTATTATTTTGAATTGCCATAAGGCTGGAATGTTCATTCTGTGCTTTTGTTTTACATATCTGCACAATCAAGAAACATCTGTGCACCATGTTGGCTCCAAATGCACGCATTGCATCAGTGATGGCCGACTGGTGGGTGGATGAACGATGCAACTTAGGTGGGAGGCAGTATGAATGAGGAGGGGGGGAGAATCAGTGACAGAGGGGGAGAGAGAGATGCTAGGAGGGAGGGGGAGGTAGGGAGAGATGTTAGGAGGTAGGGAGAGATGCTAAGAGGGAGGGGAGGTAGGGAGAGATGCTAGGAGGTAGGCAGGAAGGGATGGAAGTAGTGAGAATTAGGGAGGGAAAGGCAGGCTGGCAGGCACAGGCAGGCAGGCACAGGCAGGCAGGCAGGCACAGGCAGGCAGGCAGGCAGGCAGGCAGGCGCAGCAGGGAGTGAGTGGTAGTCACGCGGTTGAACCGCGTGACCTTGAGAGATGGGATGTAGGGGGGCGGGTGGTTTGTTGGTGGTGGGGGTGAGACCGGCTCATTCCCGAAGATAAGCCTAACACACACTACCCATTAGCATGATGGCAGGGAGGGAGGCAGGCTGGCTGGAAAGGAAGCAGGCTGGCAGGCTGGGAAGGAGGCAGGCAGGCAGGCAGGCTTGCAGGCTGGGAAGGAGGCAGGCAGGCAGGCTTGCAGGCTGGGAAGGAGGCAGGCAGGCTTGCAGGCTGGGAAGGAGGCAGGCAGGCAGGCTTGCAGGCTGGGAAGGAGGCAGGCAGGCTTGCAGGCTGGGAAGGAGGCAAGCAGGCAGGCAGGCTTGCAGGCTGGGAAGGAGGCAAGCAGGCAAGCAGGCAGGCAGGCTTGCAGGCTGGGAAGGAGGCAGGCAGGCAGGCAGGCTTGCAGGCTGGGAAGGAGGCAGGCAGGCAGACAGGCTTGCAGGCTGGGAAGGAGGCAGGCAGGCTTGCAGGCTGGGAAGGAGGCAGGCAGGCAGGCAGGCTTGCAGGCTGGGAAGGAGGCAGGCAGGCAGGCAGGCTTGCAGGCTGGGATGGAGGCAGGCAGGCAGGCAGGCTTGCAGGCTGGGAAGGAGGCAGGCAGGCAGGCAGGCTTGCAGGCTGGGAAGGAGGCAGGCAGGCAGGGATGCTTGCAGGCTGGGAAGGAGGCAGGCAGGCAGGCAGGTTTGCAGGCTGGGAAGGAGGCAGGCAGGCAGGCAGGCAGGCTTGCAGGCTGGGAAGGAGGCAGGCAGGCTTGCAGGCTGGGAAGGAGGCAGGCAGGCAGGCAGGCTTGCAGGCTGGGAAGGAGGCAGGCAGGCAGGCAGGCTTGCAGGCTGGGAAGGAGGCAGGCAGGCAGGCAGGCTTGCAGGCTGGGAAGGAGGCAGGCAGGCAGGCAGGCTTGCAGGCTGGGAAGGAGGCAGGCAGGCAGGCAGGTTTGCAGGCTGGGAAGGAGGCAGGCAGGCAGGCAGGCTTGCAGGCTGGGAAGGAGGCAGGCAGGCAGGAAGCGATATATGGGTGTTGAAGTGAACCATGAACCACGTGACCTTTGAGTGTGTGTGTGTGTGTGTATGGGTTTGGGGTGGGGGGAGAGGGGGAGGTGTATCGGTGGTGGGGGAGGGACCGGCTGACTCCGTAAGCCTAACCACACTCCACAGACCTGTGACCCAGATTTGTTTCTTAAATGTACAGTACAGCATCGTATATTTTAGGCAGGATGTGCCTGCAGGCTGGCAGGAAACATCCAGAGGATGTTTGCCAGACGTCTTAATAATCAGTTAGGAACAATTAAGGACTTTTATAAAGCGGATCAGGACTTCACTTATTGGTGAGTACAAACAAAACAGTCGCATTTACGCTATGAACCTGTCGATTTTTTCCCCTAGAGTTTTTTCGTGAATTTTTTCGGAAAAATTTCTTTTTACATTTCTAGTTTATTTTTTCCCCTCTATTTCTCGTATACGAACTTACATGTTAACCGACGGGTCTCGTCCCCAAGGGGTTCGGAAACCAAGTGGTGCTCTGTATAATAAAATGAGTGAATCATCGCTGTACTCAAAAATATGGTGTGCATATTGTTGATTCAATTATTATGTTCATCAAACAGTGAACAAATGCTTTGTCGGTTATTACACTATATACACAGGTTATATATATAAGTATCTGCATGTTTTGTTCACCATAACGAACAACTAAGTTGCTATTATGAGTCAAAAAGTAACGAGGAGTAACTGCCACACACCAGCCAGCCACTCATTCCCTCCCTCAACACCTCACTCGCCCACATTCTCCTCCTACCATACTGTTTTTGCTTTTATTCACTATATACAGACGTTATATATAAGTATCTACATTCGTGTTCACCATAATGAACCACTAAGTTGGTATGCTGAGTGGCAATGGCAGCCAGTGGCAGCCCGCCACTGGCTGCTTCTTCCTCCCTCCCTCAACTCACCTGACTCACCCACATTCTCCTCCCACAATACTGTTTTTGCTTTTATTCACTATATACAGACATTATATATAAGTATCTACATTCGTGTTCATCATAACAAACCACTAAGTTGGTATGTTGAGTGGCAGTGGCAACCAGTGGCGGGCTGCCACTCCCTCCCTCCCTCACCTCACCTCACCTGACTCGCCACCATTCTCCTCCCACCATACTGTTTTTGCTTTTATATACAGACGTTATATATAAGTATTCACAGGTTTAGTTCACCATAACTGTACATCTAAGCTTGTATGGTGAGTAAAGGCACAAAGACGTAGCTACTCACACAGTCAGCTGGTGGCGGCGGGTCCATCTAATTACTGCAAGCTACCACAAGCTACACAAGCTTCACAAAGCTTCCTGGCAATACGTTAGTAATGAATAAATATGATATGTTAGGTTAGGCTGACCTAACCTAACCTAATTAAACCAAACCAAACCAAACCAAACCTAACCTAACCTAACCTAACCTAACCTAACCGAAGCTTGGATTGATGATTTGATTTGGCATCACTAGCTCTTTATTTTCGTCTAATTTCTTTATAAAAAGATACTTTTTCAGATTAAAATTGTTTTTTCGTGTTGTACATTCAGCACCAACATTATAATAAGTAAATATATCATATTTATTCATTACTAACGTATTGCCAGGAAGCTTTGTGAAGCTTGTGTAGCTTGTGGTAGCTTGCGGTAATTAGACGGAGCGTTGGCGGCCGCCCTCAAGGCCAGACGCACTAATATTTCTCCTCCAACAATACTGTTTGTGGTGTTATTACGCTATATACACACATTATATATAAGTTTC